GTGTCAATATATATATGTGTGTGTATATATATATACAATACAAATAAGTAAAAATAAATAATTTAGATTTAAGAAAAATTAACAAGTTTTAAAAATTAAAAAGATAATTTTAATGAATAAATTACTAATGACTGTTTATAGAAAAAAGGGAAAATTTAATAAAAAATTAAAAATTATTAAAGTTTCAATTTGAGGAAAAAAATTCTGACATAAAATAAAATTTTAAAATATATAAAAAAAAAAAGCTACAAAAGAATGATGAAATCATGATATAAGAAAAAATATAGTACAAAAGGTGGTGCCTTTGTGTTCAGAGATAATGAGTCAAATTTACCAATAAAGAATTAAAAATATAATTATATAGTTAAATATTTATTATAATTTGTGACTAAAATTAGAAAGATCTTTCAATATTTTTGTAATCGAGTTAGGTTTTCCACTTTTAATCAAACTTTCATTTTATTATTTTTTGTAACTAATTTTAATATTATAATTATGGTTTTTTATTATTAATTTATAAAAATGATAAATTAAAATTTTTTGTAAATAATTAGTTGTGAATAAAGGTATATAGGTTCTTATTAAATATAGATATTTGTATGAACGCTATAGTTATTTTTCACATCAGTGTAGTCCGGGTATTCGTTGCATTACACTGTACCTTTAGATCTAGTAAAAAAAATTTAAAAATATTTTTAAAATTTGACTTTATTAATTAAATTTTATTTATTAAATTAAAATTTTAGAAAACGCTTGTTTTAAAATTTTAATTTGAAAATATTTCATTATAATTAGGGGTGATTACATTTAGGTTGGCACTAATTATATTTATACATTTTTCATTTAAAAAGTAAACCTACCTTTTTTATTTAACGTTATTTTTACATATTGACTGCCTCTATTTGTTTAAAAAAGTACACATATCATCCATATTTTTATATGCATATATTTATATCGTACACATAGTATATTTAAAAATAATAAAGGAAGTAAGGTTCAAGGAGGTTTGCGTAATTTTCTAATAAAGGGGTTGTAATTATAATTAGTGTTAATATTAAGGGAGGTTAATGTAATTTTTTATATTTGAGAAAACAAATTTAGGTAATTATTTTTTTAAAATAATATTGTTAATTTTAATTTTTATAGTTGAATTTAAACATCTAAAAATAGTAATTTTTTATTAAAAAAAGTATTATATTTTTGTATTTTAATATTATAAATATTTATTTTAATTTTTAATCAAAATTATTATTTTTGAATATTTAAACTTAATTCTAAAATATGATGCTAATAAAATTATTTTAAAAATAAATATTCTGACTCTTAAAGTTTTTAATATGTAAACAGTAATGCTTGCATTAATTTATTTTCAGAACATACCCTTAAAAAAATATAAATTAGTACCTTAAATTTAAATTGAGCACAATTTAGTTTTTAATTTTTAAAATGCATGATAATTTATATTATTTTAGAAGTAACTTTTAAAATAAATTGAGACGGTTATTTTATACATTAAAAATTTTAAATGTCAAACTTTTTCAAGGTTAAAAACTAAGAGTTTATTTGATTACTGTTTTAAAAATAATTTTCTATTTTTAAAAATAAAATACAATACAAATTTGTATTGAAATTTATTTTTTAAAAAAAACTGTTTTTAAAAAAGAAAACAAACATTTTCTAAGTTTTGAGTAATCAAATCACTTAAATTTTTTATATTTAATGTTTTGAGCATTAATTGAAGAAATTAAATAAAAGTTATTTTTAATTGGATAACTAAATAAAAAAAATTAATTGACATGCATAACAAAGGAAAAAAAGACTAGTAGCAATGTGAGAAGAATGTAAAAAGGTTATCGGATCTAATTTGCATGCATATATGTGTGTGTCTGTGTGCGTAAATAACATCTACTTTTTTTTTTTTTTTAAAATTTCCATAACATCTCTTAAAATACTGTCTTATGCATTTTGTACTACAAAAGAGTCACATCTAATTTGCATAAAATAAAAATTTCACTCATTGGTGTCATTTCGCTGTTGTATAGGATTTTTTTTTCTCTAAAATTTAACCTTTTCATAAATTAATTTATCTGTTTACATAATAAGTTCTTAACTAACACATTTAATTGCATGAATGTCTTTTTCATAACATTTGCCTACCAGTCTTTATTGTATATATTTAATTTTACCCTTAATGCGGACCGGTCATAATTAATTTATCTTAATGTGTACATTTATGCATATCATTATTATTAATTACAAACTTAAATCTCAAATAACTATTTATAGTAATTTTTGTTCTTGAAAATACTTTTTTTTTCATAATTCATCAAACAACTCAAATATTATCAAAACAATGTTTATTAATTTAGTTTAATTTTTATAATTCCGTTCGTGCAATTTATGTATGTGAATCATATTATCAATCATATGGCTTCGTAGTTAATCACTACATAAAAAAAAGAACACATTTGACCACAACTTCACAAGTATAATTGTAATATGCACATACATAAGAAAAGGGGGAAAGACACAAGAAGCCTTGTGAGAACAAAATGAAGAACAAGTGGAAGTTCCAAGATTCCATAAGCAGAAAATTAGAAGTGGACAAAAGAAAAATGGCCATAATTTCTTCGTCCTCGAACCTTACACCTAGAGACCTAGATTAGTGTTTCTCTAGGACTAGGACTAGGAACAAGTTGGAGTAGCAGTGTGATGCTCGTGTACTAGCAAGTTTTAATGTTATGCTTTGTAATTTTTGTGGCATTGCGCATTTCATTTCTGTTGATGTAGCCGCATATGGTCAATGCCGTGCTAATGTTCTTTCACACTCTACATGCATTTCACAAAGTTAACTTCACTTTTTTCTCGTCAATTATTTCTTTATATTTTATTCAATTTAATTATAACTTATTCAAAATATGTTTAATCATGTTTTAATATTAACATGATTTAAACGTTTTTTTTCTTCCTCTAGTTATTAAGTGCATGCTTATAAATAACTTGGCATACTAAAATTCTGTTTAAAACAACGTACTTTTTAAATATTGTATCGACATGTTATCTGATTCTAAAATAAAATTAATTTTAACTTTAAGTTTATGTTCGGGTAAATATTACAAACTATAAAATCTAGTAAAATTATTTGATAAATACAAACTAAAGTAAATTTATACTTTTTGAAAAATAGCTTAAAAATTTTGCTTCGTGTAGTACTAATTTATTAGAAGTTAGATTTTATTTTATTTTTCATTTTATTCACAGAGTGTGTTTGATAGAGCAAGCTTATATTTTATTTAGAAGCTTATATGTTTTTTTTTGTTTTGTTTATAAGTTTGTATAGTTGTTTGGTAAAGAAAGTTTATAATAAAATAATTTTTTATTTCTAGCTTTTTAACTAATACTTTAAAATTATTTATATTTTTAAAATAATTCTTATTAACTAAATATTAAAATAACTTTAAATATAAAAATTCTAACAAAAATATTTTATTTTATTATAATATTTACTAAAATTAATTATTTTTAAAGGGTATATTATTGTATATTAGAATGTGTTCATTAACACAGGTTAATATATAGGTTTAAAACTTAAGTTTTTTTAAACAAATTAGTAAGAATGTCTGGTGAATTAAAATAAAATAAATTTATAACTTTTATTCAATTTAAAAAATGTGCTTCGTGTAGCATTCAAAATATTATTCAATTTATTGGAAGTTAGCTTCTAATAAATTTTTCTAAATAATTTACATTCACACTTAATTATTTAACGCATTTTCACTAACTATACTACTAATTTTATAAGTATTTTTTTAATTCAATAAGTTACTTATAAATTTTTAGATAACTGATCAATTATAAGGTAATTTTACTAAATAAAACCTAATTTATCAAATTAAAACTTGATTTTTAAATAATTTACATCTACTAAAATAATTTTATTACTTTTTTAATCATTTGACATATTTTAATTAATTATATAAATAAATTTATAAAATAATTATAAATTATAAAATGTTAACTAACTTATCACCAATAAATTTTATATATATATATATATATATATTAACCTAATATTATCAAAACAGACCCTGATATGTAGTGATATCTAAGGTAAAATGACTAACTACTGATACATGCAAGAACGTTGAAATTGGGGTATTTTATGTGGCGCCTAATGCGACTCCTACTGGTCTTGGCGCCACGAAATTTCCGGATCGCCGTTCCGCGAAATACGTTTTTTATATTTTAACAGAAACAAATCATTAGATCAATACAAATGAGTTTTATGTTTTAAAGTACTGATTAAAAAACTAAAACTGTTTTTTATTAAAAATTATAGTGATAAACTAAAAATCATAATATAAACATTAAATTATATAATAGAAAATTTAATTTTAAAATTTTGACTAATCTCCTTAACACATTAATAAGCATTTATCACAGTAAAAAAAAAATAAAGGTAAATAAATGGCCTCAGCATTAAGACATGGCAACACGTTGGAGGGTCCCACGTTCCCGAACTTGGGGATTCGTGACAGCGAAACAAGTCTCCATTGGTGGGTCCCACTATTCTTTCTTTCTTTCCACCGTTTTCATTGAAAGCGAAACGCTCTCTCTCTCTCTCTCACTCACTCACTCTCACACTCTCACTCTCACCCGCTTAAGACCCTGTTTGGCTCTCTTTCTCTTTTTCTTTCCCTGTACTAACGTAATCGATGATTTTCCCTTTTTCTTTTTTCTTTTTATCCGAGAAAGAAAAAACGCGGCACGTTAATACAAAACCCGCAAAAAGAAGAAACAAAAAATATATGCGAAGATGAACGAAGAAGAAAGAACGAAATGATGAAAGGAAAAACAGTGGCCTCATTGTAATTCCTTACTTCGCTTCTAAACTACGTCCCTTTTCGTTTTCACATTACGTTTTGGATCTTTCTCTCGATCGTTGCAGCCATTCCCACGTTTCTTTTTCTTTTTTTTTTTTCTTTTTTTTTTGGGGTAAGCTTTGATTTTTATTTTTATTATTTTGTTTCCTGAGAAAAATTCAGATTGTGTTGTTGGATTTGGATGCTGCATTTCCATTTTGCATTTTTCCATCACTGTCATCTTCTGGGTTGTATTTTGAGGTGAGTCTGGAGAAAATGAAGGGAAAATCGAGTCTTTTGTTGAAAGGAAATGAATTGATTTGTGTTTTTGACTGAAAATGTGGGTTGTTTTTTGCTTTTGATTTTCAATGGAGAGGGTATCTTTGCTGTTAATGCTTTCTCGGCAGCCAAACAGAGCTTTAGCTTCGGATTAATTTTCTGACTTTTTTAGTTTCTAAAATTGTTTTTTATTTTTCGATTTTTGACTTGTGTTGGATATTAGAAATCCATCGTTTTCGTTATTAACGAACTCCTATATATCTCAATCATAGTGTTGCATATGGTGTTTTTTATGGGCAATGGAACGATGTTTATGGTTTCTCTGTATTTGGTTTGTATAGTTAACATCAAATTTAGAAAAACTCATCTTTTTAGTGGTAAGTGGAATTTAGTATCGGTTTTGGGAGTGAAGAGTATGTATACATAATCACTTCGTTCATTGAATTAGAAAATGGACAGGTTTTAGCAAGTGTATGTACATTTGCTTTTGTGCAATACATTGAATTATTTCCTTTCCACGTGGTTTTCTTCCATAATCCCTTCTAGACAATGTCAAAATCATGTTTCAATGTTTTCAGGATCAATATTACTATTTATGTTTGGTGCCATGTAAAAACAGTATCCTCTTTAATGTGATAAGCTTTTTCGTTCATATATCGTCTAATTGTTGATTGTGTCATAGCTTGGACCCTTCTTTTCACATACCTTGTCTCATATTTTTCACACTGTCTGAACCCTGATTTGGTTATTCTATTTTTATTAAGCTATTTACTTGCTCGATATTAGAAAATGCAAAATTTACTCTGTTGAGTTACATTATTTGAATTTTGAACCTTACTTTTTGAAACACTTTTATCAACTTATTTCTTCCCATCTTTGAAACTCAGGCAACTGTGAACATTTACTGACAGATAATTGCCGGAGTAAGGGAGAAACTATGTGCAGCATTAGCATATGGGTGAAACATTGGAGTGAAGTGTGAAGTTTGAGTGCATATTGTGCCATGCCAACCAATATTCAGCCAAGTAGTAATGGATTGTTGAAACCTGCCGAGGATATGAGATTTATTTTAGACTTCAGAAAGAGTGGCTCAAAACAGAATGGCAGCTCAAAGACGGGTAAAGAAAGTTCTGTATTGCCCAATTCGAGTCAAAGTTCAAAGGATGCTGACAAGTTGAAGTCAAAGAGTGGTGCTGGTCCACAATGCAGTGATCGCAAACAAAAGGCCAAGGTGGATGTAGAAGGCAGGATTCAGAACTGGGAAACTGTGAGGAGAAAGGCAATTGAAAGTGATGAGCTTGTCAAGCACATGTCTAATTTACCAGGTTATCTACTGCGTACTGATAGAGTAGAAAATTCTCAAGAGAAAGCTTTCAATGTTGGTGTTCTAGATTGGTCTCGACTGGAGAAATGGAAGCACAAGCATATTCCAGTACTGGCCAGTAATTTTGCATCATTCAATAGCAGCGAATCATTATCAAGAACAGCCACCAAATCATCAATCAGTATTGGCGGCAAGGAAAAACTTAATGATAAGAAAAGTATTCGCTCTTCAGGCATCAAGCCATCTCATAGGGAATGCCTTCCTGAAAGTACCAAACTTCCTTCTTATGATGGCAAACGGCTTGAATCTTCCAAAAATGGAGCTAAGAGTGTTGGAGGTGAGAAAAGAATGACACCCTGGACATTTGAGTCCTTTGGCAAAACTGGCTCAGATACATCCCTTGGAAAGGAGCGGAGGAATGACTATATCAAAAGAAATTCAAAAGTTGAAAATTTTGCATCAAACTCAAGGCTCCATGGGATGTCGTCAGTTCCCAATGAAAAAGCAAATGGTAGGGATGGTGCAGCTAAGCAAAACAAGGCAGGTTTGCAAGAGTATAACCATGGGAATAAGGAGAGAAATCATAAGTCAGGCTCCAATATGGGACAGCCATCACTAAAATTGAAAAACAAAGGGGCGGCCTCATCCAGTTCTAAGAAAATGAGTTGCAGCAGTAGTGAAACCAGGAAAAAGGTGGATCAGTTGCAGGAGTCAGATTTTGACATTGGTAGTAAACACTGCCGTAGCAAGCCAAGTAATATTGTGCTGCTTTGTCCCCATGAAACTCCCCAGTCAAGTTCTTCAGAGGATTTTAGGCTTTCTGAATTAAGAACGTCATCAGATGAAAACATTTCAGAATCAAGCCAAAGTAGTTTGTCATATGTTTCCCTTCCTGAGGAGGTTTACACTGAAAATGAATGCTCTGAAATCCCACTTTCAAGAGCACGGCATTCTGCAGTTGAGCTTTCTTCTTCAGAAACAATGCAACGCAGTATTAATACTGATCTGGGTATGGATCATACTTCTGTTGTATCCATGACTCCAGCTTCCATAAAAAATAAGATGTCTAGTCTGGAATCTGTACGGGCTTGCTTTGAAAAAGATGTGTTAGACACCAAACTGAGAGATCAGTGTATTTTCAGTAATTTGAAGGAATCACTGGACCAAGAAACTGCTGAGCTGACAGCTCAGAAGGAAATGAATCCGTCCCACAACCGCCGGTTTAGCTTCAGCTTAAGTCGGATTGGAAGAAGTTTCAGTTTCAAAGAGGGGTCTACACTTCCACAATCTAGCTCCACGTTTGTCAGTGCAAAGTCTGGTCCAGTAACGCCTCAATCTTCTGTTCGTTGGGATAATCCAAGCAAAGAGAAGGGAAAAAGTCATAACAGAACCAGGTCCAGCTCCTTGCAAAGGTTTTTGGATCCTATATTGAAGCACAAGACATCAGACAAACACCATTCAGCTGAAAGCAGTCAGACACTAGAGAGAAGCGTGAATTCAAGCTTCAGAACCCTCAGTATTAGTGAATCGCTGCTGGCTGAAAAGAGCCAAGGATCATCAATTCAAGGCCTCTTGCAGCTTACAATAAAAAATGGAGTGCCTCTGTTTAAATTTGTGCTCAACAATGAAAGGAAAATTTTTGCTGCTGCCAAGAATAGTTTAACATCAGCGGCGAAGGGTGATTTAGGCTACTGTTTTACGTTCTACCTCGTTAATGAAATAAAGAAGAAGAGTGGTGGATGGATTAGTCATGGAAGTAGAGAAAAAAGCCATGGCTATGCCTACAATATTGTTGCTCAGATGAAGCTTTCCAGCTCTAAAATCACCGAACCAATCAGTCATAACTCCAATACGAAACGCATGGTCAAAGAATATGTTCTATCAGGTGTCGAAATTGGCCAGACAGATCAAGGACCACCAAAGTTCATTCGGAGTGCTGAGCTTGCAGCTGTTGTCATCGAAACCTCATGTGAAAAAATCAGTGAAGTAATGTATGGCAATGATAACTTGCCGAAGAAAGAATGCACTAAGTGCTTGGCAGATGAAAGATGCTCGTGCAGTTCAGGAGAAACTGATACCTCTGGTGGCACTACAGTTATTCTTCCAGGTGGTGTACATGGTTCACCGGTCAAAGGTGAACCTACACCGTTGATATATAGATGGAAAACCGGGGGATCATGTGATTGCGGGGGTTGGGACATTGGTTGCAAACTGCTTGTGCTCTCCAACCAGAAGCAGAGTTCAAATGTTCCAAAATGTTATAAGCCTTACCATGATCGTTTTCAACTTTTTGTTCAGGTATGGATAACTTTATAGTTCTACCTAAGGGCATGCTTGTATACTGTTGAAATAGAGAGAAAATGAGAGAACATAGAATGAATTCTGCATGTTTTCAACTACATAGCAGAACATATGTTTATATTGATAATCATAAATACAAAAGTAATTATAAAATATAAGTTACCTAATTACCATAATGACAAAGATGAACTTTCCTATTATTGTAATTACACATTTAACGCAAAATGATTATAAACGTGAAGGATATCACATTTACACATTATCCTTATCCTTACTTTCAGGAAGGAACTGAACAAGACACACCCCATTTCACTTTGTTGCCACTGAAGGATGAATTCTATTCGGTCGAATTCAATTCAACAATCTCTCATTTACAGGCATTTTTCATTTCAGTTGCCGTTTTAAGCGGCCAGAAACTTCCAGGTTCCATGGAAATGGATAGCATGCATGAAGAGATTCTTAAGGAACCCAGTTCCAACAACAGCAAACTTCAGGGGAAAGCACCTTTAAAATATGCTCCAATTCCACCACTCTCCCCTGTTGGTAGGGTTTAAATTCAGAAGAGGTGTTTTTGGTTGTTCATAGTTATTGCTATTAGCTCTTAAGATCTTCAAATGGCTGAGAAATAGCGAGTTAAATGCAATGCAATACATTTATGTCAAATGTTACTCTTGCACTTGAATTTTTACACCCTTATTTTACACCTACCTTTTATTTGAAAATGGGATTAGAGGGGGAAGAAAGATAGGGAAAACTTGAATTTTTCTCCCTCCTCCCCTTTTGCTGTAAAAGGTGAGTATAAAATGAAAGCGTAGAAAATCAAGTCTAGGAATAACATTTTTTTTCGCTATTTTCGTATGTTTCCTTTCATACATGAAAATGCAATCTGCTATAGTTATAGCCTGTTGTGGCAGAAAAATGAGATGCATCTTTGTACAAAACGACACGTCAATGAATAAAACCAGCAGGGTTATCCTCTGCACTACTTGAACACTTTCAAAAGAACAATTGAAACTAAAACATCAGAAATCCTCTCGGCAGCCCACTGGAAATTTGTCTCTCGATATGATGATTACAATATCCGCTATTGGATATTTTTGCTTTCAAATTTGATAACATATTAATAATATTCAAATGTAACTTACATTTCTTATTTTTCCACAGTGAGCTCAAATGCAAGCCTGTATGGAAGAAAAAAGTATTCATTTGAGTTAATTTTACTATGTTGTAGATTTTTTAGCTTGAATTTAGATAATAGTTTAATTAAGCAATTATTTAATAATTTTTTATTGTATAAGAAGTTTATATCTTAAATATAATCATAAAATTTATTAACGTAAGTTGACAATAAGTTATATGAAGTTTATTCAAATATAGAGCTAACAAAATGAGTTGTTCAGCCTAATGAGCTGACGCATAACAGGGAATGGGCTGGACTAAAAAATTCAAATTTAATTCGAATTTATAAAAATATTGCTCAAATTAGGTACAGTCTAATTTTATTTTATTTTATTAGATTTTTGCCAGTTTAGTGATCCAGCTTGATTGGATTTCTCTAAAATGACTTGGATTCGATTTGGTCTCGGAATTTAACTTAAAGTCTTCTATTTTATTGGACTAGTTCACTAGTCCGTTGAGTAGACCCATTTTAATAGCTCTATTCAAATAGGTTAAAAAGAGCTTACAAGAGTTACAAACTAAATTTCACAAGTTTTATGTTTCTAATCGAATATGTTTATGCAATGAACCAAATGATTTCTACTAGAAATTATTTGGAAAAGCAACTGTCTAGTCGAGTCGTTTAGTAAGAAAAACAATTTATTTCCTAGTTTCTGAATATGATCAGCGCAGCTATATAGCACTAACTAACGAGTGTTTGATATGGTTTAAAAATAAGACTGATGAACACATTCTAAACAGAGCTCAACCAATAGAAAATTGAAGAGAAATAAAACGTATAGAACTTCAGTTGATCAAGAGAAATAAAAAGAAAAATACTTATTGCATTGCATTTCCAAGGAAGCTGGGTTGCTTGTAGGAAAAAGCTGTCTCCGAGTATTCATTAAAGATGCTCTAATGTGCAAACAATGAAGAGTTCTAGTTGGGCCATGATTCCATGTCCAGCCCAACACTATCACTTACCTCCAATGTCATAACCCAGAAAATAAAAGACTAGAAAAGAACTGTTGGAAGAATAAATATAAATTTTAGTCCCTCAAATTCTACACGTCGAATATTTCAGTCCTTTAAAAAAAAAAAAACCTCACTTTTAATCTCAAATTTTATAAAATGACGTTCATTTTTTTTAGTGCAAAACAAAAATGAAAAATGAAGTAAAAATTAATTAAAATGAGTAATTTTAAAAAATTATAAACTAAAGAAAGATTTTTACTTTTCGAGAACTAAAATGATTGACGCATAGTGAATTTATTCATTGATGAATTGAAAGTGCAACTGGTTATTTTGCTGCAACTTATCATCTAGTCCGCGATCATTCTAGCGACCTTTATTTGGAATTTAAGGCCTGAATACTACCATATAACCATTTTTCTCATTTTGGGGTACCTGAGTAAACTACTTAAGTTCAGAGTTTACACCAAAAATTTTAGTAGATAAATCCTAAGCATGAGCACATCATTAGCATGAATTCATTAATCAACTAGTCTCATTGCTTCTACAGATCATTTGTGCAGTCAAATTGCAATGTAACTTGAATCTTTGGAGATGAGTGTTGCTTCAGCTAAACACATAACAAAAATGAATAGAGACATAGAAAGTGAGAATGATCAAGAAAGGGCAACAAAGAGTGAACTTTCTATCTATATTGAAGACTTTGATGCATTCACAAGTCTACCGGGGAAGCATGATGAATACAAATAAACCACTGGCCATCAATCCTCTCAAACACATTTGTTACAAATTGTCCTCCCCATCTACCTCCTTTTGTCTTTACAAATTCCATGCAAGTAACATACCCCATATCCCCTCTAGCATGAACCTTAATGTCTTCTAGCTTAATTTCTAGCGGAAATTCATAGTTAGCCCATACAAAGTTCCAGCTCTCAATAACATCATCATAACCAGATATTCCTTTCAAACCAGGGTGTACGCAGCATACCTCATCCCGTTTTGCCCACAGGGCTTGCATGGCTGCAAGATCACCAGTCCTGAATGACTCATAAAACCGGCTGTTTGCTCCAAACACTGTTGTTTTGCTATCTTTCTGAAGGTTTTTGAGGGTATCCCTTATTTCTGCTGCTTTAGCATAGTTCTCTTCTGCAATGGCATTCTGTAGCTCCTCCTCCAATGTCTGTTCATCCAATGCAATGTTTTCACTACTCAATATGCCCTCTGAGTCTTCACTTTTTACTTCCTGTCGTCTCCCTGATAGAAACCAAAGGCTTTATATTCGCCCACAAAATTAGTACTGAAAATTTGTGGCTGTAGATTCAAAAAGATTTGATGTGAAACAAAATCAAGATAAGAGGAAAAAACACTGGCCATCAATTTTGTATTCAATGGTTAAAGATGAATCAAAATATCATCCAAGAAGTATGTTCCACTATGAACTATAAGGTTTTTTAAGTAGAGATACTTACTGAATCTTCCCATTTGCAACTTGTGACATTGACCAGGCAAAAGACACAGGTCTGCTCTTCCAAAACTTTGGCCAAAAACTAACCTGTTTGAAGAGAAGGAAGGCACACAAACATGATGTAGCTTCTGAAAGCTGTTGAAGAATGAACCTGGTGAGAAATTATACTCCTTGATAGTAGAAGAAAGTCCCTTCATTAAAAATTTAAAATCAATCACTATGCTTTAAGGGAGCAAATCTATAAAAAGAATTAAAAAAGAAAACATAGAATCATTTAAAGGAAAAATATAACTTTATCCTCATTCCTCAGCAATTCATAAAGTCATTTTTCTTCAGCTATCAACTGTTTTGAGACCGTGTAATGAAAATTCTAAGCATGTATGATATGATATACCAGCTTCCAACAGAGTTAGAAATCAATCCAAGCGGACACACAGCCAATTGAAAAAGCCTAAATTGTTTCCAAATTTACGTTGTAAGTAGTTATATACTTCAATTCTATCTAAATCCAACCCTGGATCTTTATCCAGTGTCGTTGATCAACAATCAAATGCGTAATTTCTAAAACCTATAGAAGAGACTTCTCAATTCCACAAAACAATAAATAAGAGAATAAGTGAATTTTTTGGGTTTGAAAAACAAATTAGCAACTCACATTGAAGGATAAGGTGGTTCCATAAAGCGCCATAGCTTTGAAAATGGTTATTCCACCAGATTTACAGCCAACAAGAACCAGGAGAAGAACTACAATAAGCTGATAAAAAATATCAGATATGGATGCTTATCCTGAAAATCACAAGAAACTAGTGATAAACCTGCACCTAGTAAAGAATCAAAGTATATTTGGACTTCACACCATAACATTGAGGTAAAATAAAAAACACAAGGTCAAATTATCAAGAAAAAATATCAAGAATTCAAGAACATAAACAGGAATTAATTTTCTTTAAAAGAAGAAAAACAGATACTACCGATATAGATCGAAAGAAAATGGCGATGTGCGAGAACAAAACAACAGTAACCAGAGCAAAATTCCCATTTTTGAGATCTTTAAACCCGAAACAAAATTTAACTACCCAAATGAATTAAAGAATAAAATAAAAACTTAAGCAAAAGGGGATAAGAAACAACGAATATAAGAAGGGAAACTTCAATTATCATGTTCAAAGAAACACGCAGATAACACAGAAAGCTATGATTGGAGAAGATGCACGAACAGAAGAAAAGAAAGTGTAACTATTAACTAAAAGAATATCGAAAAATAACAGTGTAGCAAGCATTTAGAGCAACCTTTTGGAGATCAGCAGAGAGAAAAGAACGCAAATGCCAACGTCAATGTGGTCTTCGTTGATTGAAGGAGCAGAAAAGGCTAAGATTTCTTTTATTAACGAGAGAATAAAAGGGAAGGGTTTCTATGTTTTACAGTAAACGGTGTCGTTTTTTTGCATGGAAAACAATTTGTTTATAAAATCCATCCAAGAAATCAAATGAAAAAGATTAAGATTCAAAAAAATTAAAAGAAATAAAAAATTTAAAACCAAATGAAAAGTAAGCATTTTATTAAATTATTTCGGATTTCAGCTCCAATAATCAAATCATGTCTAATATATTCTAAATTAAATTTAAATGCATGTATATAATTTTATGCGTAAAACTTTTATTTCATTCATTTTGTTTTTCTTACTAAACTTACGCTCTAAATTATATCTTAGTGCTCTAAAGTAAGTTTATCACTTTCAAATTAGTTTAATTTTGTAAAGTTCTAGTTCCTGGCTTGATTACTGGAGAGATAATTTTATTCAGGTTTTGAGCAAAAATTTGTTTGATCATTGTCCCATTATTCTAAAGTACAAAGTGGTTAACTGGGGTCCGAAATCGTTTTGATTTAATAATTATTGGCTGACTCATAAGAGAGTTGTGGAGGTGGTGGAGGAAGCATGGAATGGATATATTACCCTTCCATGAGCTGCCTAGAGAGCTGGCCAGAGGTTGAGGAATGTTATGATTGCATTAAGAAAATGGAATATTGAGGTGTTTGAAAATGTTGATAAGGTAATTTCTGATTTAACAACTGAGTTGAGCTTGATTGATGATAAAAATTATGTGATGAAACTTTCTGATATGGAGAAGCGTCAATAGATATTGGTGGGTGATATTTGGAAGGCTAGGAAGAATAGGAAGAGTCTCATAGCCCAAAAAGCTTGGGTGGGATGGGGGAAGAAGGGTGATTTAAATACAAAGTTCTTTCATTTGTATGTTAACGGGAGGATGACAAAATAATATACATGCGCTTCAAATTAGGGAGAGATGTGTCAAAGAGGTTGATGAGATTAAAGCAAATGTGGTGTCTTATTTTGCGAATCATTTTAGTAGTAGAGGTTGGCTCTGACCTATTATTGATGTTAATGATTTACTGAGAGTCTTTGTTCTACAGAATGAGAGGTTTGTTAATGCTTTTTCGGAGGAGGAAGTGGGGAGGATGATTTTGGAGTGTAAGAGGGATAAAACTCTGGGGCCTGATGGTTTTAATTTTGTGTTCCTTAAGAAGTTTTTGGGAGTGATCAAGGAAAAAGTGATGGGTATGCTTACTGAATTTTTTAGAAATGGGAAACTACCTAGGTCTTTGTTATCCTACTTTGTAGCAGGTGCCAAAAGTGTCTTGCCCACAACAGATATCTGATTTTCAGCCTATCTCTTGCTAGGTTGCCTTTATAAGATTATATCCAAGCTTTTGGCAAATAGGTTGAAAGGGGTTCTAGATTCAATAATTTCATAACAACAATCAGCCTTTATCTTGGGAAGGAACATGTTAGATAGTGTGCTTTTGTAGCTAATGAGGCATTTGATTATGTGTGAAGGCTTAACAAAAGGTGTTTTGTGTTAAAGCTTAATTATGAGAAGGCTTATGAATCAGTGGAGTGAGGATATCTTTTGTTTATGTTACGTAGCTTTGAATTTTCAGAAAAATGGGTCAGTTGGATTGAAGCCTGTGTGTGGGGGTTAGCCTGTCAGCTTTGATTAATGGTTGTCCAATATTGAAGGTTTATATTGGGCGGGGCCTAAAACAAGGGGATCCTTTTGCCCTTTTTCTTTTTCTGGTGGCAGCAGAAGGGTTAGGAGTTCTTATGCAGAAGGTAGTGGTTTGTGGGTTGTTCTCTGGTGTGAAGATTGGGGTAGAGAGATCGGATATTTCTTTGCTGCAATTTGCGGATGACACATTGATTATGGGAGAGGCTTCGATTCAGAACTTGTGGACTGTGAAAGCAATATTGTGTAGTTTTGAGTTAGTGTCAGGTATGAAAATTAATTTTCATAAAAGTTGTGTATTGGGGATTAACATTGGCGATGACTTTGAAAACTTGGCTGCAGAGTTCCTATATTGTAAGATGGGTACTTTCCCATTACAGTATCTTGGGTTACAGTTAGGTATTAACCCGAGAAAGCCTAGTGCATGGAGGGGGTGTTAGAGGCTTTTAAAAAGAGGCTGGCATCATGGAAGCATATGTATTTATCGATTAGAGGCAGGGTGACTTTGATTAATGCCTTCTTAATTCTATGTCATTGCATTCGTTATCCTTCTTTAAGGTGCTGAAGTCGGTGATAAAGGAGATTGTCACTATCTAACAGAATTTTTTATACAAGGGTGTTAAGGACGGATCTAAAATCTCCTAGGTGAAATGGGAAAAGGTTTGTAGACCACGAAAGAATGGTGGCTTGGGCATTAGGAATGCGCAGTAGTTTAACTGAGCACTTCTTGGTAGATGGTTGTGGCGAGGTATTAATTGTTCTAGTTCATTGTGGGTGTAGGTGTTGGAAACTAGGTATGGCAGATTAGCTTCTTCAATTCAACATTCATTAGTGCACAACAAATGTTCTTTGTGGTGGCGTGATTTGTTGGAGGTTATTCATCAAGGGAATTCATGACTGGATGAGAAGTTGGATACAAGTGTGAGTGTAGGTTTGCATACTCTTTTTTGGAGAGATAAGTGGATAGGCCGGTTGCGATTGTGTGAGGCATTTCCATGATTGTTTGCAGTGATGAGGAATGTTGAATCTTGTGTATTGGAGAATGGTTTTCATGATGGCACTAGTTGGGTTTGGAATGTTAGTTGGCGAAGAGAACTCTTTTAACATGAGATCTCAAGCTTTAATCTTATGTTGGAGCTTGTGGATGAAGTTTCTATTAAGGTACTACAAGAAGATAAATGGGTATGGAGGGCAGATTCTTCAAGCTGTTATTCAGTGCAATCTGCGTATTCATGACTATTTAAACTTTTTGGTGGTCCTAATTGTAACACCTTATATTTCTTTCCTCAATACATGATAAATTTTCATAAAAATTAATATGGTAAAGTAAATTTTCCTTCAAAACTTTCTAATAAGGAAAAGACATTGAAATGATATCAGGTTCATAGAGTAAAATTTCATTAATTCATAAGTACTTTAGGAAAACAAAGATTCTAAAGTTTTCATCAGCAATAAAGAGGAATAGTAGTTTTACAACATTTTCAAAAGAACGCTATAGAACTGAAAATATTCATTACATAACTCAAAATAACTAAGTCCTATAACAGTTCTCATCCATCCATGCACTGTGAGCCTGGTACTATTCGTCCTGGTTTCCTGAAAAATGTTGTGTAAGGGTGAGTCTCTACCCTACCACTCATACATAACATATACATTCTTCACAAAACACATCTTATCACGATTAACGAAAACATCATGGCATTACATATCACAAGGTTATATAAAGCATATTCTCATCTCAACGCGCATTACATTACACAGATTCACAATTTCTTTTACTTTTATCCGCGCTTACCGCGCCCTGTGGCCACAGTTATCCGATGCCTCTATCTCGAGGTCTTACACATTCATGTAAATAGTCGCCGGATGGCCCAATGCAATACGGATACAACGCATGCAATAGACGGCCCCTTAGCAAAGGTAATGGTCAGGAGTCAAGTCGAGAAATGAGTGTGTGGCCATGTGGTGCATTCGAACACAATATTCCGTGCACAATCTCGAATGTCACTCACCACCCTGCATTTCCCCAAGATATCCTATATCGTCTCCATCTTCCACTTCCCCAGTGTATCTCTGTAACTATTTACATCATATCTTTTTCCATCTCATACTCTTTTGAGCATATTCACATGTTCACATATGCCATGTATCATGTTTACACATATTTTTCATTATATTTCCACATACTTTTCATCATATACATCAAACCACGGCACATTCACAATACACATCATTTTTACATAAAACACAATATATTCAAACATGAAACATCCATCTCTTCGTATATTTTATATCACAAAATCATATCAACCATCCTCAATATACCTTATCATGCCCTATTTGAACATAATATCCCAATTTCACCATGTACTCATCATAAAATCACATAAACAACTAATTATTCTCACTTTTCACCGATTATTTCTCATAAAACAGGGATTATTTCACATATAATTACATACATGACAAGATCTATGAGAATACAAGTAATAAACATAACGAAATGATAAAGTAGAGCCCCCCCTTACCTCAAAACAGAGCTTTTACAAGGATTTAACCGAAGGTTTAACTCTAGAACGAAGGTTTTCCTAAGAACATCATGAACATCTATAAGAAGAAGAAAAAGAGAAACGAACGGTAAATCTAACTTCAAACTTAGAAAAACTTACTTGTAATCCTTTAGATCGAACGTAGAATCACAGATCTGAAGAAAAATCTAAGTTTAGGAGGTTTAGTATGTGAGAAAATGGCGAGATATGACTTTAGAACCTTTGAGAACCTTGGATAGGAGTGAAGAAATGAAAATTTTGTCTGCAACCCCCTTTTTATAGAAAATTTTCGAAGTTACTGTTCACCGCCGGAATTTACTGTGTATCGCCAGAAACAGTGTTCACCGCCTTACTGTTCATGCCGGAAACACTGTTCGCGATAACTGTTCACGCTGGAAACACTGTGCACACGTACTGTACACGGATTGTACGCGTACTGTACGCGGATGTGACGTCAGCTATGACGTCATGCTGATGTCATTGATGACGTCATCGTCACTGTACAAAGGCAGTTTCACTGTTCATACGCGGTTTACTGTTCATAGACGGTTTACTGTTCATCGACACTGTTCATAGGCGGTTTTACTGTTCATTTTTTTTTTTTTTTTTAAAAAAATAAATTCTATCCAAATCTATTCCAATTATACTTTAACAAACCTCATTTTATTTAAATCAAAATATAGGATGTTACACTAACATTGTAGATCAGTGTATGGCGGATGCCTTGCAAATGCTATGGAGAGGGAATGTCCTTCTTAAGTATCTAGTATTTTCTTGG